ATATATATATATATATATATATATATATATATATATATATATATATATATATAATAAGTTAACGCTATTTATCAGAGGAGCAGGCTGCTTTGAGTTTAACGTCATCGCAGACTCTCGTCTTGAGCAAGCAAAGCACGAAGGCGACAGTGGAAAGGAAAACCTTCCTCATGAGGAAGAAACCTCAAGCAGAACCAGGCTCAGGAGTTCTTGTAATTAATTTCTGCTTTTCCGTTGCAATACTCACATTTTAGTCTCTACTACAGCTCATAAATTCTGCTGACATCATACACAACATTCATGCATTCAGTCATGAGGAGCACACAGAAAGTTGAATCTCAGGAAAGAATGACCAAAAAAGTTATGATTCAAACAAAAAAGCAATACTGTAATCAAATCAATTAAACATTAAACTCATATTTTGTAGTATTTTTCTTCTAAGGTACAAATAAAACCCCTCCGAATTCACAAGATGTGGAACAGTAATTGATTTGAATAAATAAACTGAAGCCCACTTCCTTTATTAATATGCGTGTCCTCGCAAAGGAAGTAAAACCAGGAAGTGTGCACAAATAAATTAAACAATTTATTTAGCTCTACGGTGTTCTGAGTGTTTTTAATTGTGTACTGAAACATAACTGCTATAACATGATGAAATTAAAGATCAAAGTTTTATTCATGTGATTTTATCCTTCTATGGCCTGCAGAGGAGCACACTGTGTCTCTGCTCTGGCTGGGGGAGGTGCCTGTGGCTCAGTGGTTAAAGTGGTTCTCCAACGAGAAAGATGTTTCGATTTCATCAACCTCCACCAGTATGCATACCATACCCATACCATTTTATTTATAGAGCACTTAAAACAGCGACAAGGCCAACCAAAGTGCTGTACAGACGGAACAACAGACAACACACGAAGCAATATACAAAATGAAGTAGATCAAAAATATAGACATAAAAACGATGCAGATAATAAATATGACGACAAACCAGTGTGGAGTGTACAGGTTCAAAACACAGATATTCTGGTGTTGAAAGCTACTGAATAGTAGTGAGTTTTTAAACGGGATTTGAAAACCGAGAAGGAGGGGGCCTGTCTGACAAGCAGAGGTAACTCGTTCCAAAGTCTTGGTCCTGCTACAGAGAAGGCCCCGTCACCTCTGCGCTTAAGACGAGTTCCTGGAACTGTGAGGAGCAATTGGTCCGCTGACCTCAGGGTTTACATGCAGTCACATGTTGATCAGAGTCAGCGTTTGTTTGTCATTCGCATCACGTGGTACATGAGGTGGAACAAAATTGTGTATGCAGGATCCCAGTTACATCAAACAATAGCAAAAATATAATGTTTAAAAAGAATCGGTAAATAAGGATCTGAGATATAAACTAAGATATACGCTAAACGAACGTCAAACGGTACGCTAAAAGATCTAAGATATACGCCTGTCACTAATAGTGCAAAACAATACACCAAACAACTGCAGCACGGTTCTCATAGGTTCTGTTCGGCTATAATTTACACGCTTAATGCGAGCACTAACTTAAACTAAACCAACATAAACTAGGATTTATTCAAAGCATGCAACAAAAATACAAAAACAAGGTGCCAAAAGTAAAAAAGAAATAAATCTACAGCAGCATGGTCCTATTGGCAGAGTGGTTCTGATGACAGTGAGGTTACCTTAGCAACATAGTCCAGTTAGCAGCGTGATACTGTTAGTGGTGAAGTTCGTTTAGCAATGGGGTTTCTCGTAGCAACATGGTCCCGTTGACACTATGATACTGTTAGCGGCGTTAGCAGGTCTTGTTAGCAGGTCCCTTCAGCAGCATGATGATAATAATGACCGCAGCAGCTGCCTCCCAGAATGCCCTCCAGAACCGGGTCCAGCAAACAGAGAACATCCAAGGTTCCCCCGCGGAACCAAGCGGGTCCACAGAGTTCGGTCCGATCAGGCAGACAGAGGTCCTTGTTAGCAGCATTAGCAGGTCTAGTTAGCAGGTCCTGTCAGCAGCCCGATGGTAACAATGACCGCAGTGGCTGCCCTCCCTGACAGCCCTTGAGAACAGGGTCCGGCAAACGGAGAACATCCAGGTTTCCCCACAGAACCGAACGTGTCCATAGAGTTCAGTCCGTGCAGGCAGATGGAGGATCATGGAGACAGCCGCCATGACAAGCCTGAGCCCAAGGCTGGAAGGAATGAACCACGATGGCAAGGCAGCGTCACAGAAAAGTCCACAAATGTGTTGCGGTCATACCTGTACCATGGAAGTACATTGTAGGCGCAAAAAAAAGTTAAAACAAAAACAACAGGAACAAAAAACGATTGAGTTCACTGGGAGCCTGTGAAGCTACGACTCGGTTGAGCGCGGTCATCTTGGATGATGATGTGTCGCTGTGCGTACCATTTAACTCCCCATTGCTTCTGATGTGTGCCCCATCAGTGTATGAAAGTCATCTAAAGCATTAAGATTCTTTAGAATGATATATTCAGATTAGCTTTGTGGGAGTGTAGTAGTGTGCAGTATGAATGTGTTTGTGGATAGGTAAATGATGACGGATTGTGTTGTAAAGCGCTTTTTCTCTGGTTAGCTAGAAAGGCGCAGATAAACCTTGTTTGGTTGTTGTGTTTGCAAACTATGTCAGCTCTTTCTATATATATCTATATGTGTTCAATGTATTCAGTTTACTTATGGAATAAATTAAGTCACATAGCCTTCACTGCATCCCAGATCTTGGTAGAAATGCATCAAGATTTTATAATCTGAAAGAATCCTATAGGTTCTGAAAGATGAATGTTTAAGGTAAAGGTAGTTCTAGTAAAAAGGCCTCTTCAAATTTCCTTGAAAAACAATCTTTGACATGTTAGAAGCAAATGTCTGTAAACAGCGAACACAGCAGAGGTGTCAGACTGTGAATAATAACTGACCGATAACGAGCAGACTGAAGAAAATTGTCAGCCCACTGGACTGCTCTTCCTCTTGGGCCTTCACCCCCGTCTGCACAGGAAGAATGGGCTTTGGTGTTGGTGCTGGAGTAGTTGGCTTGGCAACAGTTGTAGAGGGGTGGGTCTCATTACTGTAGTTTTCTGTGGTATCGTTGGAGTTGCTGCAAGATGACAATCGAAGGTGAAATTGTGTTGGTACTTGGCTTTCATGATTATTTATGTAAACATTAGTAATGCAAAACAAACCACATCACTAAGTGAATAACCATAAACTACAACATCATATATAGTTAATGACTGATAATCATTATGTCAGGTTTTTATCCATGATTTTATCAGCAGAGCTAACAAATACAACTGTTTACGAATTTTTACTTCTAAAACATATTGTGGTTAAGAATTAATACGTTTATGTTCTCGACTAGGACAAACATAAATTATATTTAGTAGTCGGAAACAAAGGTTTGTGAAGTAGGCAATCTCAGGACAATCAAAAGTGTTGTTAGCTACTAAGCTAGCTAATTTGCTAAATTAAATACTGAAAAAATAAATATAGCTCTGACCTGACAGCCTGTCCTTCCTTTTGTGGGTCATTTGAACTGAGCCCATCTTTTTTGTTATTAGTTTTGAGTGTTTGCTTGTTTTCCCCAGTAGTAGCAACCTTCACATCCCCCCCGCCGATGCCATCTTTCTTGTGTAAGTCCAAAGAATTTGCCCCGTCGACTCGTTCCGACAAGCACAACTTTACAAAAAACAACAATAACAGCAAAAAATATTGACGACTAACGCTTCTCATTCTCAACTCATTAAGCTTAAATCCGTAAATAATGTGCTGTACTTAAACAGACTATCAGCTTCATATCGACAGCTATCTGTTGACATCGCGACTTTACTTCCTGGTTAAGCTTTTTGTGGGCGTTGTAGTCCTTAGCTGTCTTTCACGTTTAAGTTAAGACAGGCGGTTGAACAAACCAATGTTTTCATTAAAAAATGTGTGTATACACTCTTGAAATCACTTGCTGTTGCAATTTAAAGTTTAACTTTCAAAGGTACATAGAAAACTACAAAGTAAAAAATAAATATAAGGACTCAGTGTCCCATCATGCACTAGAGGATGTGTAGCGTCAGTCTTCCGTTCGCTGCCGCAATCCGTCAACGTAAACGTATAACTTATTTAAAAGAAAAAAGAAAAGAAAACATATAATAAAGTTGAATTTTCATGCAATGGATTTTTCTCCATCTTTAACATTAATTAATAACCTAAAGAGCATATATCTTCAAATGTGTACGCTTATTCAAAAAAGTCACTAAACCTAATTAAAAAAAAAACATGCAAAACAACCATAAAAATGGTCTAAATTTAGTCGTACTTTTAGCAAAGTACCACATTCACTATAATAAGTGGAGGGATTACAAAACCCCACCTCCTTCCTCTGTTTAATGGACGGATTTAATTAATACTATTCTTCATTAAGTGGATTAAGAAACTGGAAAACAGCTATGAATCATCTCACAACAGATATATAAAAACGTATTGTTTTAAGTTTCTCATATAGTCTTACCCCTTTGTGGTTTTTTTTTGGTTTTTTTTTATATATTTTCATTATTTTGTCAAATGTAGTCATGACACCCTTCACGAGTTTGTATTTGTATCTTGTTACATTGTTCTGTTTGATGTTGTTAATAAAGTTCTATTTCTGGAGAAACCCAAAACGAGACCAAAAAGAAAATGTGAATTGAATTCAGTAGCCACAATATGGCCCTCATTTAGTTTTATTTAAATGTCTTGGGTGAAACCTTCATGCGCTTTGCACAATAAACCTGCAATAAAAATAAACCGCATGTCATAAAGTTATCTCTCAAAGACCCAGTCTTTATGATCATTTGGGGAATGTGTTAAACAGCTGGCAAAATACAGATTGTGTTGACAAAATCACACTGAGTGTACCAGAAAAAAAAAAGTAAAAATACTGACTAAATAAAATACATTAAAAAAAAAAAAATAGGTGGGTTTATTGGGGCTGTGTTTCATAAATAAAATGTATGATATGACTTACAAAGTAGCTAAAGAAATGTTTGAGTTCAGGGACTAATCCCACGTTAGACGGTTGTCATGTGGCTCCGGTTCGGCTAAATAGCTAGCTTCAGATCATACATATGCCATGACGTTACGACGGCGTAGCGACGGTTAACGACCCAGACTCATATTCAAATGCTCCGTTGCCAGGTTACGTCGTCTACGCCGAGCAAATACGTGCGTGCGTGTTTGTTGAGTAGGAGCTACGGTTAACGCCCACTCGAGGTACTGCTCTTTTTTTTTTTTCTTCTTCTCTGCGGAGAGACGGCTCCATTCATAGGGTTGGGCAGGCAGGCAGGCAGGCAAGGTACAGGAGAGGCAGGAACACACCACCAGCGACCAAGTGTGGAACCCAAAGATGGTCTCACGCTGAGAACAGGCCACTTTACACCGCGCTGGTCTTTGTCAGCCGCCTCTACACCGCCCCGTACCCCGAATTTAAACCGAAACCATCTCGTCAGGAATGGAATTCGTATGTCTGGATTGAAAAGTGGCGGTCTCATCCAGTTTTTCGACCTGCCGCGGAAATAGACTGACTTCCGAGTCGCCTGCACCGCCACTGCCGCAGCCCTACCGCTCCATTCCGGCTCATTCAAGCCAGGCCGTCCGCGGACTGCTGGCTCAGGCATCTGGACACATCGGCGCTGGCCTGTCGTCGTTGAAGATAAGCGAAACGTGCCTGTGTGTCTGGGCTTTCTTTGCTGCCTGTATGATGCCGACACATTTGCGTTTCCGGAGAAGGTCATTCCTTGGGCTTTTATTCCTCTTTTCACTGTCCACCTCGGCGCTATATTTCATCTACTCCGCTCCCGGCATCGGTAAGTGAAATGAAACGGGTGGTTGTGTTGTGTGTTTTGTCGATGTGGAGGATGCAGTGAGGGGGCTTGGATGGGCCGTTAGGTCATCGCGTGTGACAGCTCGACCATGCGCCTCTTCGCAGCCTGCATATCACCCAGTCCATGATGAGACTCAGCTGGATGCTGATCCCATAATATCCATTTACCTGGCCGTGGTAATAATAGGGCCACTGATGAGCATGGCTATCATAATCTCGCTGATGCTACTAGGCCTTTCAGCCGTGATTCCAGTACTTTACAACCGAATGTCTGGAGCCATAGACAAAATGTAGTCCTTGGCCTTGATTTGTAGGTGCATTTTTAGGACCCATAATCAAAATTGACTTGTGTTTGTGTGTGCCTCCATCCTCCCATGGTAACCCTTGGTGACCGCCTGGTATTGGCAGACCAAATATCACGAGTTCTGATTTATGAGGCTAAATGATGGTTTATGTCTGACATCATAAAGTGCCGGTTGGTCACATGTAGTAATATCACATGTCCCGAGTTCTCCTATTATTTATTCATCCGTGTGTGGGATAATCCCCTCAGCTGTTTTGTTCTGTCACTCTCTGTTGGGTTTTGTGTGTGTTTGTACAGCAAGTCACCTCTGTCTTCTTGAGTAACTCACCCATCCTTTTTGTTTTGGAACGGCCTCTCGCTTGTCACAGTCCACTCGTCTTATCAGCCTAGACACAGTAGGACAATCATGCTTGCTATTTTGGGTCCTTATCACTAACTTTGTAAGAGCAGCCACATGTTCTTGGCAAAACAACACTTGTATTTTATTATCTTTTTATCTAACTCGACACATCCCATTGAGATCACAGATCTACAAGGGGGGGCTAGGACTGAAGGCAGCCTGAGCGTGCATGTTTTGGACTTTGTGAGGAAACTTAAAAAAAAAACAAAAAAAACGTGCAAACACAGGAGAATATGCAGTTCACACAGAAAAACCCCAGGCCCAGACTGGGGATTGAACCCAGGTCCTTCTTGCTATGAGGCAACAATGCTAACCACTAGCTGTCAAGTGCATAATAGTGTATAATTAAGAATTGCATTTTGCTTCAGTCCTTGTGTCTTGACTGACCAATTATTCTTAAAAACATCTACTTGTCTCAGGAACTCAGATTAAGTGTGTAGGAAGGTACCAGGTTGGGCTACTTTGCAACAACTGTTGGAGAGGGAGCTGGAAGTTTACACAAAATACTGTTTTGAGGACATTCTTTTCTTGCCACTATTTTCCCATTTGTTCCTTGTTCTTGTTAAGGATGGGATTCTTCGAGGCCGTGTTTAGAACCTGCTACTTTTAAAGCAGTGTGACTTACGGGAACAGATCGCCAATCTGAGCCAAAATCTGATCCGTTTATGAGATTTAAAGATGTTTTGCATGCAAAAGAAAAAAAATGTGCGCCTGTTGTTATTATCAGTGTTAACAACGTGAATGACGATATTTGTGTGATATATGTGCGACTTTCCCAAAAGAAAATATGTAAAAAAGGCTGGTCCTTCTTATTCGTCTAAATGAATATTGATCAGTTCACACTTTTTACCAGCTGAGGACAATTTACTCAATAATTCAATCAATTCTTGCATGCAAAAGTCATTACTGACACCAATTCCCAGTCTCTGGCAGCAGTTATTCCTCTACATGTAAAGGAAATAAACAAGTAAATCATTAAGTGACTGAGATAAAAATAATCCTTTCTTCAGTTGCTCACTCCTTTTTCCAGCTGAGGCATTGATGGGGCCTGACTGAGAGCTGCACTCAGCCATATTCATCCTCCAGGGTGTTGACTGTTGTAGGGCTTTAATGGACACGAGGCTTACTGGGGGTTAGTTTAAAAACAGAGCAAGGACCAGCAGCACCAGTTCATTAATTATAGATGCTAACCGGGAACAAGGCAAATTCTGCAACCGTTACTAAATGCTGCAATTTTAGTCTTTTACAGGCATGTGAAGAATGATTTTAGGGATAATACTTAACCAATTTTGGCCCATTTTTTACCCATACAGTGGTATGATACACTCCCTGATTGTGAGATAGGTGGAATCATTTTTTGGGCATTAGTTGAGGTTTAAAAATGTGTGGTCCAAAAAAACTAATCTTGTGTGAAACTGAATTACAGTAAATACCAGCAAGTGAGTTAGATGAACAAACTGTTCACATGTAATGTATCTAAGGCTACGTTCACGTTCACACTGCAGGCAAATTCAACCCATATCATATTTTTTCATGACAGTCTGAATGTGACAATTTATTTTATTTATTTTTTCCCAAATCCGACCCAGGTCTTTTTCAAAGTGACTTTCCAGTGTTTTCCAAAGTGACTGCAGTCTGAACGGTCATGTTGCATTTTATCTGACTTTTATGTCAGTAAGGTGGGGTAAGCAGATCGATCTAAGTACCGGTATTAATATTGATACCGACCATGTGCACTTTAAATCTTGGAACTCCTCATGTCTTCAGCCGCAAAACAAAAGTCCAGTTGCTTTGTCTTTGTTCTTTTAATTTCCCATGTCCCGGATGACTGATGATCTGCAGCAACATACTAACGTTTGTGTCGGACCGTATCGATACTGACGTGGTGGGAGCAATACTTGAGTTTGTTTCTACCTTCAGTACTTCTATCCCATCCCAAAAATACAAAGCTGCACCAAGCTGTCAAAGAGATGCAATTAAATGTAAACGCTGGACCAAACATGTATGTCGGATAATTTTATCGGTTCTGATGCACAGCTTCAGAATCACACATGCTAACATGTGTAGCATCCATATTTACCACCTTAAACGCGGCGTGCTGTCTTCTTCTGCGCATGCGAGTTGCCTCAGAGCTGTAAACGGTTCACATTAGAGTGTGATGGAGGTCGCATTTTAATGATAATGTGAACAACCACACAAAAAAATTGGATCTGAACAAAGAATCTGGATTGAGCA